CTATGATGTCTCAACCGTAAAACATATATTATAACCCTACCTTTTATAGAAATGCTTCACCGGTTACCTTTTTTGACCGCTGTCGTACGTTTTGCCTTTCCTGACATGCAGAATTTGCAATTCACCGTAACGCTGAAGACGTAGACTCTGCGTCCACACACGCCTTAAAGCAACATAATGAAAACGTTCGCTAAAAGTAACCCCGTGTGAGTTGAAAATTATTATTTGTGTCGTTACAAATACTAGACGTTCTAAAAGTGAATATTCCTTTCCCAATTAGAGTGGCACATGAAACGATATAGCATATGAAGAGTTACGGGCAAGAGTAGGATGGCAAACCGCGATTTCCTGTCGGCAGACTGTCGATTGTGTTCTGATGTATGTTTGTGCGTAATTGAGTTAAGCACTGATGACTGACAGCTGTATCCAAGAGCTGAGAAGCAAAATACGGCGATCAATTTAACACGAATTAAGGGATAACAGAAATGTCTGACAGGGGATAGGCTCAGCTGTTTGATGGCCAGGAACCATTTTGAAGATGGAACGCCACGGAATATTCAGCCGATTACTGTATATCTATACATTCATCATGTAAATCGAAAGTGTCTTTTTGCGCCTACCATATTCTGTGTTTCCTCAGCGTTCTGACAATTTTCTGACCGGTTTGCTGGCTACACCTGTAGTCCTTTCCATTACCACTACCATCATATGACATGACCCACAGTTTACCGACAGCTTATTAAGGTCCTTCAATATATCCTTGCCAGAACGAAATTAACGACTAATTTAGGCATTCGGATACTTTATTACATAATAATTACATCTACTATACAGCAACTCTTGTAGAAATCAAAGCGGCCGGAATGATTTCAGTGCTTTGTTTAATGCAGTTTTTAATAGACCACCCGGTATTGATCCCTTTTTGTAATGTTTTTATGGCCTGAAATACGAGGCGATGCTTTGCATCGAACAACCATCTAACCTGTTCATTTGCATACAATTAGGGTAGAAGTGACTTATAGGGCCCACCAAAAGGTACATGAGAACAGAAATCGCCTGCAATAGAGTTGTTTGAGCTAACATCAAGAAAAAATAAGACTGGCTTTAACGTTAGTTTTAGGGTTATGTAGAGCACTCAGGTCTGGACTAGATTTAAATTTAACAGAAAAGTAAGTCAGCAATAGGCGTAGGGTTAAGACAGTTACTAGTGTTCAGAGCAGATTGGAGGATTAGGGTAGACTTGGGGTAGAGATTACGGCAAGGGTTATTGTTGCGGTTAGGAAATGGGAATGTTTTGCTCTTTCCGGAATCATCCGCAGGTCAACCTTTTTGCATGGGCTGACTGTGCCAATTCCCGTGTCCTGTTTAGGACGGCACACAAGTCAGTCCTACCAAGGATTATTTTGTTTTTATGTTTCAAATTATAGTTTTTATTGTAGGCGTTATCGTGTAATTCTGCTCATCAGAAGCACATCGAGAGTAATAAAAGAGTGCATCTCGACTTTAGTACGTTACATACGGAGCAGGATTGGAATGCTTTATAAGTCGAAATGCATAAATGCCAGCTTACCTCCTGCACTCGATAAAAGTACAGCTGTTTTTTATAGAGAAGAACAGATTCAATTTTTATTGGACCGTATGTGAAGCTTGCAGTCTTAAAGGTCGATGCACAATTTTCCCACTTAAACTTTTAAAAATAACCAAAGTCTAAGGGAAGCATTTGAAGCGTTGACATTAGCAACTGTGAAATAGCAGACTCTTCACCTTAAATGTCCAGCTTTTGTACAGGGACATAACTTCGGGCGATATACATGTATGTGGGCCAATAATACTAATATCAATAATTATATGTAATAATATGGGCGTGCCTTTTGAGCAGATCACATACTCTGCGAAACCACCTTTATTTTATAAAAATAGTAGAATTTTTCGATTTCAGAATTAATCTCCCTGCTTAGAGGAAGATTCCGTAAGATTATTTACAGAGAACCAAAACAGGCTAATATAAGTTTGCTTAAGAATACCCATAATGAAAAGATAATTAGTAAGGAGGAGACCAACAACATTTCGCTGTAACCATCCGCAAGAAAAGTCAAGGTGAACAAAGTTATCTCATTTCTCCAGTGATTTTGCCTAGTAAATAAAACAAACCTTACCTCTTAAAGGACTGGAAATGTGCGATTTTCCCCACATGGGAATTTTCATTTCGCCCGAATTATTGTAGTTAAAGAAAAAGTAAATTTAGCTTTTCTGAATTTTACTAATTTCTGAGTTCCTTTATACAAGATTCGAGTCCTTATTCGTTTTACACTATTCCAAGCTACCGGTTGTGCAATTGCTTTAAGATGCTTTGTCCTTATGCAGAGAGTTTAGAAAATTCTGCCATGACAATAGCTATTTACATTTTGAAGATGACAGAAACTGTCACAAAACAAAATAGTGGATGCAACAAGCTAGGATATAATGACTTTTTATGATAAACAAACGCAAAACATTTGAAAAACACCGGGGCAAAAAGGAGCTCATGGCATATCAAGCTTCGAAATCAAGACTAGGTAAGACTCACGCGATACAATCTCGTCAATTTAGTCGTCCTGCCTGTCAATCATGGTAAATGTCCATAAATAGTAGTTTTAACAAAAAAATTACAAAGTCGTGGTTTGCTTCACTTAGCAACAAATTTCTCGTAGACAAATAGGTAAATACGGACAGTCCTTGAAAAGCTGTCAACAGATTTTTCGGGCACTAAAGATGTACTCAGTATCGCAGCGTTCCCAAGGCAGAAATGGTCTTAATCGTCATCCTACGGCTAATTTTCCATCAAATGGGATGAATAGCGCTGCATGCAAGAAGTGCCATTTTGGGCGAGCGTAAATTATTCTTTGCAGTTTGTTTCGCCAACTTTTGATTCTTTTCTACTCATCTGTGCAGACCGTCCTTCCGCTCTTTGTAAACGTAGCATACCATTGTCAGCGAAGGAGAAAGTGCATTCAAAGTGCTCACGGCGATGTATGCTTCAGAGGGCAATTTATTATTTTCGGAGAAATATTTTGCTGTTGGGACTTTTGCCGTGCTCAGTTGTGATAAATATCAAGGCCCACACTTGAAGCAAAAAATACATTATTATACTGTGAGCCGGTTTCGGCGTACTGTCTTAGTTATTGGGGATTAGAAACATGATAGTTTAATAGCAATGTTTATTATACCAAGCAGCAAATCAAAGCAATCGAGAAAAATGCAGAGAAGGTGTTTTTTGCAGTGGTCCCAGAAGTCCTACTATTAATAGCCACATGTTCACATCGTCAATCAGTATTTGTCAGACGGTCGCGTTTTTAAAAAAATACGAGTGTTATATGTGATAAATGGCCCTCGTGTTATGCATGCGTTTTATTTGTGCGTTCTTTTTTGAAATAAACTCTGCGGTTATACAACGGAAGCCAGAAGAAAAAATATGTTTTGCCCGTCACTAATTTCCAGGTCCTGGTAATTATAATAACGTATATTGAACGCCAAAATTTTGTATATCAGGGGTGTTAAATTGAATAAAATGGCTTTTCTGTTGGCTTTTCTTTGTCCCATTTACTCTTGTCCTTGACCGGTATCTTCAGTAGACAACGCCTTTAACGTATTTTATAAGCAAAAATGCACTTTACAGTGTACATACCCAGTGTGATAGCGGGAACGTGTTCACTAAACTATTTGCATTAAAAATGCAGCCAGTACACAGGCAATAAATTCTTACCAAATATTTAACATATTTTTATATTCTGACACTAGGACTTTCATAAAAGTCTAAGACCGGTCTTTTACAAATAAGTGATTCTTACCGTGCATAAAAGTGCATTATAATTCTAGTCCGTAAAAACTAATCATAACTCTGTTTTCATCAAAAAAATTGTCCTTTCTATCAAACGCGAAGACAAAAACTGTTACAGAGATCAGCTATGGTGAAATCCATATGTCATTTCTTTAGCAACGTTCCACTTAAAATTCTACTCATTCTTAAGTTTTTTTTTCAAACTGTAAAAGGTCTCTACAATGAATGTTCCGCTGCGTTAGGAAAACAGTTTTAAAATATCTGTTTCTGCCTAGACATTCAGCTGACTTTACTTTTGGTTTCATAAATTGTATTCTCACGGTGAAGGCTTTTGCTGCATGCAATTTTTCCAATGCCTTTTTTATAGTTTTTCAGACATTGAAGTACTCCTCGTGTGTTGTCAAGACGTTTTTCAAACAACTCCATCATGTTGTACAGTTTGACCTTATGCTATCTACAAAGAACATTTATTTATCGCAGATGTATTTACTGCTCTCGATTGCCCTTTGATTATCACGTTCTAAGTAGCTGTTTTTATGTCACATATCCATATATATTTTTTTCTCACTATTTTTGTTGGACGTTTATTTAAAACTGATATCTCAATGCATGCTGAACATCAGATCTCTCATAGGTCTCAAGACAGACAGACTGGCTAGTTGGCAAATTCCGCATTAACCCAGCTCCATCAACATGCGAGCACCTGTGTTTTCCACTTGAAAATTAATCAAGTCAACTCGCAACTACCGGTTTACTGGGTAGCTAGTTTTTATGCGTTCGTGGCCCTCGCTCCTGTCCGGAGGACAGACATCGACAGCCAATCGGATTGCCTCGGTAAGGAGCCTGGCCTGCGTATTCGGCCGGTTATGCTTACGCGCAAATTTCAGGTATCCGCGTGTGCGCGCCCGACTTGTATGCAGCCTGCGTAGGCAGGGAAAGTCGTCTCAGACATCACCTTTCCACCCCGAGTGCAGCACTGACCATCCTGCGGCGGAGCGAATTTAAAATAATATCAGAGGATAAGCTGCGCGCCTGCCTTCTGCCGCTACGCCAGTGATGAATGAAGAACAGCAGGGAGTCTGCCGTCACTTGAACCGTCATCACCACCATCACCACCACGGACGCCGCACCCACTGTCCCTTCCATGAAGCATCTCCTTCTCTCCGCTGCACTGTAAAGCACTATGGGGAAGACCCTCATGGACGGCAAATCTAAGGCCCAACGCCCGTCCAAGTCGGAGAGTTTTGAAAGTTTTAGAGGTCCCCTCATTACCACTAAAATGCACCAACAACAGCTTCCCCATCGTCGCCATCCCCAGCAGCAGCAACCAAGGCCGCAGCAACAGCAGCATCAACGCCCTCGGCCGTCCGACCGCACCGTTTTTCCCCAAAAGACAGCAGCAACCGCAGCGACAGTGGTGCGCAGAGACTACCCGTCTCCTGAGCCAGAAAGCATTAAAGAAGAGGAGCTGGACGGTAGTCATCACAGTGACATCAGAATCGAGCAGACCAACTACGCCATTATCCCCTCCGCTCCACCCCGTGTAAACACCCCCGATGAGGCGGAACAGCTAGAACTGACTCCCTACAGTAGGCCACCCTCGAACACACAGCCTCCGATAGACCTGCTTCACAGCGCGTCAGCAGTGCCGCCTGGCAAGTCTGACGAAAATAACTGTTCGACAGAGAAGGAGGGACTACTCAAGCACTCGCCAGACTCCCCCGATGGTTCTCACTCCTCAAGACGCGGCAGAATGAACAGTTTTCAGAATGATTCAGAGGGCTTTATGGAGGAACTGGAGATCTCTCAGTCGACTGACTGGATGACCTCAATACTCACTGTCCTGAGCTACGTCATCGTAGTCCTCACCTTTCCCTTCTCCATGTTCTTCTGCCTCAAAACTGTGGCGGAATATGAGAGGGCAGTGGTACTGCGGATGGGTCGTTTGCTTCCTGATGGCCACGGCACTAAGGGTCCCGGTCTCTTCTTTATCCTGCCCTGTATTGATAGCTTTCGCAAGGTGGAGCTACGTACAGTGACCTTTAGCATCCCTCCGCAGGAGGTCTTGACAAGAGACTCTGTCACCGTGGCGGTGGACGCAGTGGTCTACTATCGCATATGCAATCCCGCGGTCTCCTTCCTCAATGTAGAGGATGCCGCCAGGTCGACACGGCTGCTGGCCCAAACGACGCTAAGGAATGTACTGGGCACAAAGGACTTAGCCCAGATTCTGATGGATAGGGAGGAGATGTCTGCGACCATGCAGTCAACACTTGATGCTGCCACGGAGGCCTGGGGCGTCAAGGTATGATCTCACAGCCCCCCACCCCATTCGACTCCCACTAATGTATTTACACTCACTCGCGTGGAAAAGATGTGTGTGAATTTCTTCATTTTTAATGCTATAGTTATTTGTTGGCTTATAAGCAGGAAGCAAACACACAAAAGGTAAATTATCAAAATGTTTTCAGTGATAACAGGTGCTTTAGGCCAGTACCCTTGTTCTTTAACGCGAAAATGACAGCACCGAATACGGTACTACCCAAGATACGGCCTGATTTCCCTTTTGTCGAGTTACACTTACTGTTACAGCGCCCATCTGTTAGGCCACACAGAGAATTGAACCTTTGTTTTCATTAGCTGTCAAGGTTAGTGTAAAGGACGCCGCTTAACTCTCAGTAGACTGTGGATCCTGCCATATGGAGCTTTATCTTGACATCATTTTTCGGGCCATTGCAGACATTAAATTGCATAAAAATAATTACTTCTCATAACCCCGGAGAATTATTCAAACTGATTCACTAGTTTAAAAATTGCATTTTGATTATTTTGTTAATTAACGCACTCATTTCCGTTGCCATGGGGAAGCGCGCCATAAAGCTTTCGGTAGTAGCCCAAGCAATTTTTGGTTTTTTTACATTTCGTCAGTTTACTGCATGAAGTGTTGCCACAACATGAAAACCGCTGTCTATTTTTGACACCGCCCACAGTCTACGGACATTTAGGTGAGGTACTTCCCCCACCGTTGCACAGTAGCTATAACTTGAGGTGCAGGAACCACGTATTTAATCCAGGGTTTACCAGACATTACTAGTTTTTTAACCGTAAACTGAAAGGTAAAATGCTCGCGACTTAAATATTTAAATGCACCATACGGTCTACCAGTTTGCATAGATTTTTCATTACGCATGAACTATCAATCCATTTCGCTCAAACAAATATTGCCCTTTAAAGAGCGTGTCTGTCGGTAGTCTGGTAAAAATTTTGCATTTGTTTTTTTATTCTATTAAACAGTGGAGCCCACCAACCGACTCGTTAGCACAAGCAAGGGAAGAAATATAATTTTTCTGATTTCATCATCCCATGTGATATCATTTGTTTATCACCTTAGCAAATCAAACATGTTAAAAATTCCATAGTATACCATGAGGATGACACGACGTACATACGATAATGGATCAGAAAACAGGTAAAGGGACAAATAGGGATGAACTGTCAATGAACCGATGTCAAGTCATACGTCTTAAACAGAGTACTTGTTTTGTCATTTGCTAGGGCCCAAAGTAGGAAAAAAGTACGGCAGATATTTACGGCCGTCAAAATTTCCTTTTTTTTACTGCAGACACCTTCCCCACGTTGATAGACTAATGGTTGACACAGAGAAAGTACGCAAGAAACGATTTTGATCATTCATGTCGCTTTTACGGCTGGGATAGTGAGATGCATTTGCAACATCTCAAAATCTAAAGAAGATTAACAGCGAGCGGAGGGAAACAAGGACTTCTCAGCGTTTGGACGTAATTGTCCACTTAAATAAACCACAGTGAGCTATTTACGATATAGAAGCATGATATTTATGGAAGGCTGATATTTTGATATTACTCATAAGAAATGTACGGCCTAGGATAATTGCCCATCCTAGCTACAGTTTCATTTTGATTACTCCTATGGCCAGAGGGTGCAATTTCCCTTAACGTACAGAACCCAGCCGACCATTGGGTACAACTCGAAAACAGGATAATAAGCAATTTCACATTTCAAGCCCAGACTTTATAGCCTACCCTATTGTAACTGCGACGAGATTTTATGACTTTGCTATGCACAGAACATACACGCCTCCTTTTTTATTTGGACTTGTTGAGACTATCTTTCCATAGTGTCTTGTTATTCCGAGAGCTAATGTTTTAGGGCGACTGTTGCGGTCTTATCTTTCCTCTTGTTAAAAGCAAGTGTCAAGAGGATAAAACAATTGGCCAAAATATCCGAAATGAATCTGGCTTCAAATGCCAATGAACACTTATTTTTTAACTTTATATTTTTGATGGAATTCTTCTAAACAGATACACTTGAGCGCACATTTCCCTTTTTAACCACATAAGGTTCGATGACTGCTTTTATCTCCCTACACTTATGGGATTTGAAACAAATATTAAAATGCATGTACTGGCGTTCAGATAACGCAAATGTAATCATTATTCAGCAGCTTGTATCGAAAGCGATTCTAGGCATTTAGCTAAATTTTATTCTTATGAAAAAGGTGATTTTACCTATTGACTATCGTAATTGTCACTAGACATCTTGCGTCTAATTCTTGAGCGAAAAATCGCAATTCTAAGGAAAAGCAGGCATTGGAGCTCTGTTTTAGAAGAAATACAGTTCGCCCTTTATTTATAAACTATGCTGTTTAATTTTATTTTGATGAAATCCTTATCATAGCAATCTTTCCAGTGTTACATGAAGTTATTTCCGAATCCTTTTTTTAGCAAGGCCTGATTACTTCGATAAGACTGCCGAAAACAAACCGATGTTAGTCTCCGGTAACCATATTGAGAACTTAGAAACAGATAACCACGCTTAAATGCAAGCACTAAAGCGTATTTTCTAAATGATGAAATTGCTTAAATATACTGTTTCTGCAATCAGAAATAAAACCCATCTAACGACACTAGTTTTTTTATTACTTCTGACGTCCACAATGTATGCATAGTATGTCTGGCATTCAGGCCCCATGGAAAATTTTAGGTTACGTCAGTACACTAACCCTTGTTTTACTAATAATATGTTCTTTGAAATGCTGGATGTTTAATGACGATATAGCCCTCTCAGTAGACACATGACGATACCCTGCAGGTACAATTGCATAAAATGATTGAATGTAAAGACGGAGGATCAAATTAAATCAAATCACCAGCGGATAAAGAAGAAATCACTGGTTTCCACGCGGAAACTTACATGATAATGCTTACTTACATCTAACTCCATTTCCCAGAAAACACTAGCTGACTTTTTGGATAGTATTTCTGGAGAATATTTCGATAACAGCCTTTTGCTCTTGTGTTTTTTTTACTATAAGGACGCAACATTTTTCGAAAGGATTAAATAGTTAGGTCAGTATTGGGAACTTGAATTAGTACTCCTATTGGAAAATTATGTTCCAGACGACTAATTCTTTTGAATAAAAACCCCAAAGACATCGGTGCAAATTTTGATATTTGACAAGACGGCGTTGTTTGAAACGCATGCTAAGCCAGCGATTTAGAAGAATGGCATGTGTGGCGTTCAATATTTTTCGAATAAACTTATAGTTTTTTAATCTCAAGATGACATTGGCGAGTATCTACAAAGGCTTTGGTTTAATAAATTAGTAAAGCTTTCTTATTTGGGTTCTGATCACTGAATTGCATATACGCGTATTCTACTCAAAGCTGATTCTAAGTACCCACTAATCTTTTTATGAATATATTGCTTTTAATCCTCCAGAATTTACCCGTGTTCACATTTCGGACCCAGTTTATTGCGAAAAAGCGTCTCCCGGTTTATATTTAAATGCTGTTTTTATTATGAAGCATTTTCCTGCAACAAAATGCTTAGTTTGAAATTTAACACACCTACTCCACAAAATTTAATCAAACAAGTCATCATTTCACAAGTCCATTCTGAATTCCTTGTCGCATCAAACTCCAACGCCGTTTTACCACGGAAACATGAATTCAGATTTTTAAGCCTAGAAAGCATTCACTAAATAAGGGAATATAATCAAGACAGACCATCGTGATGTCTAATACATTTGTTTCTCACTTACCAACGCCTACTTAAGAGGGCGGAATAAAAATTGTGATGTGCGCGACCTCTCGTACATATTTTGACGATACTATTAGTATGCAGGTGTTTTCCGCTTGTTTGGACTATCTGTACGCTCAATGCTGCGAATGCATCGAATACTTCCATTGCACGCAAATTATTGCACATTGCTTGAGGACTATCTGCATAAAATGCCAAAGTCAAGTCGTTTGCCTGCATTTGTTGGGTACTTCAACTTTTATTAAACAAACTTTTACATTTCAACAACCTGCGATTCATAACTGATACTTAAATTTGACACTGTGGCGTGATCTGTTGCTGAAGTAAATTACCCTGTCAGCTAAACTGTTTATGACATGTGTATTATGCATTTTGTTAGGTTGAGCGTGTCGAAATTAAGGATGTACGACTGCCAGTGGCCCTTCAACGCGCAATGGCGGCGGAAGCCGAGGCAACTCGGGAGGCCAGAGCAAGGGTGCGTCTAAACAGCATTAAAGTGTATCTAATTTACAATTGCTTTCTGTTCTTGTCCGCTCCTCCCCCCTCTAAAATCTTGTATTTTATATATCTCAAGAAGTAGTTTCGAGAGCATAAAACCACTTTACCACTCTACACGAATGACAATAAAGTGAACAGCTAACGGACACTTACTTAGTGACAGAAACATCTTTTCTGTTGGGCTGAAAGGGACGTTCCCAGTTTATGCCCAGTGGTTCCGAGGAAAACTATTTTGAAATGTGCACCCGTAGGCTATTTGCCAACTGCACCATCCAGGCCAATGTACAGGATAGATATCGAGGCGTGTCTTTTATTCTCCTAGTGTTTTCTAAAGATGGTGCGTTGAATACGGCAGTCAAATAAACAGTAGGGCATCTCATGTACAGAGGGCATCCAACGGGGTTCCAGCGGACTATTCTTGCTTATGTCGTGAATAAACGGCCTGGTCCCATAGACATATGCCAGGTTTGTGGCAAAATCGATGGAGTTCTCTCGAATTCAACCTGATCGGCGGATGCCATGATGACCACATATTAATGAAGCATTTACTCAGCTTGTCAGCCGTCAGGGTAAAAGGGATACCATACTAACAGCACAGGCACTAGTCAAAAACCCATGCATGCGTGTTTCGCCGCTATTCTGCGACCGCATGACACAGCTGCGAGGGGCTCGGCCTATCAGTGGGTTGCTCAACATGCCCCGTCTGCTTTCTGGTAGACACTCAAATTTAGAAATTGTCGCTTTTTAATTTCCCTAAAAGTTGACGGCGAACTTGGTCAAGATCAGTATATTCTAGGTCCACGGGCTGGGGCCTCATTAAAGAGGCAAACCTTACGCATTACGCGTAATGCTAGTCGGCTAGGTTTGAGCGACAGTTAAATTTGTTTTAAAGTACGCCTTGAAAGTAGGAATGGGGCCGCCTCTGTCCCTGCAAGAAACACCATCCGGATTCATTGGTCCATCCTTACATTCGGTTCGACTGTGAGTGCCCTTAGTTTACCAAGGAATTGTTCTTCCGAGTGCACTGCTGCTTGTGAATCCGCGATTAAGGACTGTAGCTTCTGAAGTAGCCAGTTCGCAACCCATATATGGATGAGCCCATAGACCTGGAATATGCTGATCTACTAGAAGTTCGCAGTTAATTTCTAAGGAAATTGAAAAACGACATTTTTAAAAATTGGATTATCAACAAAAAAGCAGAGCTGATGCTGGGGGACTCACTGATAAGCCGAACCACTCGTAGCTGCTTCATGCAGTGACAAAATAGCGTCACCCCACGCGTGTACTAGCTATTTACTAGCACTTATGCTGCAATCCTGGTATAACCTTGTTCTAAAGTATCCTACAAGCCGCTCGTCGGAAATTTATGAATAGTACGCGGTTACCCACTGAGGCCGATTAAATTTGGCCCAAATATTCTACTATGAAAATTAGTGTCTGAGCCAGTAGACCTTGAATATACTGGTTTGCTCTAATTGCGCAGTTAAAAAGCAACAATGTCGGCCTTCAGTTCAATCACCCCTTGGATACGCAGTATTGATTATTAGAACCGAGTTGTCGCATTATCTGGTAGCCGCCCAGGTCAGGAAGTTAATCGCACTTTGGTACTTTCAAAGCGCATCAGATTTATCCTTCCTTTCCGCACGCACCGTGCTGTGTGAAGACGTGGTGGACATCAACGCATGCACCGGTTAAATTTTTATCAGGACAAACAGTTGATGCACCAGCTCATGTAATTTTGACCGAAATTCTGAAGTGCGTTTTCCACTCGAAAAGACTAATTAAAAAAGGTTGTAATAGTAATAACCGTGCAGCATAATCGAAAGATATTGCATTTTCTTCGGGATGCTAACTTTTGAACAAATTTCTTTTCGGCCGCCTGAAAAACTATACTCTGTAAAATTTGAATACTTAATACAGTGAGTTTTACCCACTTTTTAAATGTATTTCTACATCTGAGTATATCCCATAGAAACCTGCATAAAAATATTAACTCAAGTGTATTCTTGTACAAAAGCTTGCTTTTTTGAAAATTCTTTTCTTAAAAAAAGGGCTATAAATTCTTTCCAGTTCTCGAATGCTCTTGGATCCGACCTGCCGTAACACATGCATTCAGAGTTTGCAAACTGCAAGTTGCGTATTTGTCGTGTACAAAATTCATATATGTTTGCTGGTTATTATGAGGAGGCTATATAGGCTTCGTGATATGTGGCAGTTCATTCGATTCATATAGTAAATGCAACAAACTAAGACTGAAAGTGCTGAGACACAATTTTCACTGAGCAAGAATTTCAAGGCCCCGAAAAACTCCATAATAAGAAGATTTTATAAATGAATCATACCCTTCATTTAAGTATACATGTTGAAGAAGACGCGATGTTCTACCAAATAAGTAAACAAATAAAAATGTGTACGTATGTTTTCTGCAAAATGTATTCGAACGTATAAGGTAGTCGAAAATCACATTTTGCATAGCGTACTTTTGCGGGCGGTTAAAAAAGTATTACCTTTAAAGCCGGCATCCCGAAATAACCAAATTCTTGCGGAATTATGCTGCAAGGTGATAAGTATCACGACTCTACTTAGTAATATTTTCAACTTAGAAAACGCATTTACTAATTTCGGTTGACATTCCATGAAAAGGTACATCTTCAGTATCTTAAGAACAGTTTTTCTAACCCAACTTAATTTGCAGCAAACAATATCGTCAAATAAAGGCCATGGTAGAATTTTTATCGAGTTTGAGTACTGTGCTCTGCTTAAGCGCAACCTCATAAGGGCATACGGGCTTTTAACTGCGTTTTAAAGAAATGTATCCGTAATAGCATTTTTATGTTAATCCTCGATATGTGTCAAATAGATGGCATTTAATTAATTAATGTGCAGCCAGTGGTTCAGAAATGTAGCAGACGGAGATAAAATACGTTTGCGCCGTCAAACAGGTCGAAATGGTAGGGGAATACTAGGCAGCAAAACACAACTCACGGTGGTGAAGGTTTTTTAAGAATGGGCGTAATCGATATAATTATTTCGATTAGCCGCAATGCCTTTCAGAATTTGTGTCGTTGAAAATCATCCTTGACCGGGTGATTTCTGATATATAAACAAGGACAAACAACTACATCTCTTCAAAATACAGATTATTCGTCACGGTATTGTGATGTTACTATGAAGGTTAGGGTGAAGAAGGATGAGGAGGAGATACGTTTAAGAAAATAAATCGCTAAATGTGCCATCGTCCAAATAATGCTATTGACTTATCATCAGCACCATCTGGTGAGCCAAGCACAGCACAGACGTTCTGAGGCTCCCAGCACTTACAAATCACCACGCCTACCAGTGCCAACTGGCGCCCGGGGCTACACTGACTAATTCGTTCTTTGGCAATGTGCTCTATGGGGACTAGGTATGCGGATGAACAGAAATTTTACAGTCAGCTAAAGGGATAAGTAATTGTTTTCATCTAGGTGGATGTCATGCCTCATTTCGAATTCTAAACTGACTGAGGGTAAACTGCAGAGCATCCGAATGTGTCATCAATGACTTCAACTACAGTATGATCACCACCAGTTGGCGCGTTGATTGTCACCCAAAAATGCACTACAGCAAACATGTCACAGATATGGGGAATTTCGTAAAACAAGATGATTAAGAATTACTTTTAGTCGAGTCTAATACTACTCAAATTTCAATGCAGCAACGCCCAAACTAGCTGCAAATCAACTAGTTCGTGCAAGATGCCTGTTTGTTACACGTTTTGTTCCGTCCTGCAGTCTCTTAAGAACAATTTTGTAAGATAATGTGTTCCCTAGACCATGCGTTATCGCAGAATTTACTTTCAGAATCAATCCGCGAACATTCTCAGAGGAAAATGAGCCTCTTGGAAAACTAGTGAATAAACAACAGCACTTAATGAAGGTAACTGCATCGAAACAGTTATTCTGTCTAAGGTCTCATGGCCCATTACAAACGTGCCTATTTTGCGCAGAGTATTCTATTCGAAACAATTTAACACCTGATTTATAGCTCGTACAACAGAATAATACGTTTTACATCATCGAACATCAACCAACATCCAACGCACGTGATGAAATTGCAGCAATTAACTACGCAAATATCGGCCATCACGCCACGGGCAACGAACCCTGGTGAAGGGGAGGGAGCCGGGAATATTCATAGGTATGCGGTAGCATGGCTACTGCATCCTATAAATACTGCAGCCGCATGTGCATGAGCCACCCTTATCTGCTTATGTTTCTGATGGTGGATTCGAGCAGGAATCCGAAACGTCAGGCTATTAAAGCTCTTGTCCCGGCGATCGTGTCTTCTTCTTCAAGACTGCTTCCTGGGACTCATCTCTTCGCTTCTATTGGCAACATTTTACAGATACCTGTTTGCGTGCGCCTCCGTGAACACATATACACATATATAGTGCGAATAACATTTTTGGAACAAATGGCTAATTTAAATGCAAAATATGATTGAAAAACCGACAAAAAGCGTGTAAACCTGTCTAAAATACCCATCGCTCATTGTTTTGATTCAAATTGCCGACGTTATTCGGATTTCCATAGCGTGCTGGCTCGTCCACAATGCGAGGCAAATTATTTTTTATAATGTTGGCTTGCTATTAACGACGCATATTGTCAGCGCCCAAACCATATTTCAGGAGAAAGGCCTTGCGTTAGTGTCGAAGTCTAACATTCCAGAATCCTGTAAAATTAATTATATTAGGTTGCTCCATTTTAACATTACATGAATGAGGCTTTACTGTTCGGAAACAGGAAAAAGTACTCGCCCTACCTCAGTACATCGCCTGCATTCAAAATACGTACATAGTCCACTGTTGTGAAAACATCTTGATTGCGTAAATAGGTGTTTTCCCTACACATAAAATGCACTGAGACATGACCATCCCGTCAAGGGTATCACAAAGCACGGCGTTCTGACAGGCACTTTTGAATCAGACTCAGTGTTAGACAGCGATGATTTGCTTTAATGTCGAAGCTTTCCACCAACTGTATGCTCGCATGTCATCAAAGACCGATCTCTCTATGCCAAGCAAGACAGTGTAGGTAATACCGCTAGCTCATAACTTGTGTGTGGAAGAAGGACGACAGATTAAATTTGATAGCCTCGTGAATTTTAGGAGACCAGAAAGAGGCAAAGCAAAGAAGCCATGAATCAAAAAACTGTCCAGTCATAAAAAAAAGTCAGACGTTTGATCTCTTGTCGTATTCGTACTTGATGTGGATTTATTGTAAGGATTCCAGTTAAGAGTAAACGACAGCGACATCAAACGCACAACAATGCGATACGGATCTTGCGGGAATTTCAAATTGTGAAACGATAGGAAAGTAGATCACCTAAAATTGCAGGCACCGTAAGTAGTCTAGAGGAGTAGTGTTGGGTGTAGCGGCTGTGAGCCAGTCCAACCAAACATGGTTAGTCGCCTTCGAACCGCATTACACTTCATAAAAATTAACGGTCATATTTTTTTAAAAACAACGCCAAAATATCCTGCACCTGAAGTAAATTCCCCAAAGCAACTTTAAGGTCTATTAACATTGTACTACCACCACACATTATGCTGTAAACATTTATTATTCCTGGTGAAGTACTCGTTCGGCTAACTGTTGTTAACTCTGAACATGAATCAAGGTGATCGCTGCCACCGGCGAGCATCGTGCTTCCAGCGCCCTGAAGGAGGCCGCCAAGGTGATTGCCTCCTCCCCACTGGCGCTTCAGCTCCGCTACCTGCAGACAATGTGCGCCATCTCTGCCGAGAAGAACTCCACCATCATCTTTCCCCTCCCCATTGATATCCTCCAGACTGGGGTTTCAAGCGGCGCTCTGCTGGGGAACGCTCAACCCCCTCCGAATGGTATGAAACATGCTCTGGTAAAGGGCTGGCTGCCCAGTATACCGGACTATCCCCCGAGGGAGAAGAGCTCCTCTCCGTCCCCTGAACCAAGGCCACAGAGACTTCCATCGGAGTCAGCAGGAAGATACGGCCGGTCGGAAAAAGAAGTAGGCACAGCAATGGAGGAAAAAGGTGGCGGAGGAGGAGCAGGTGGAGACCGTGGAATGCCGACACCGGCACTAGAAGTTCACTCGCCTGTGCACGACGGTGATTATGACACCTACAGCGACTCCGTTTGACACTTGAAGCATTGGCTTCACCCAAACGCGCCAATCAGAGTCCGTGTTTAAGCACCCCAAAACACAGTCTCCCCACTTTTGCAACGGTTGACTGCAAACGTTTCACTGAAATTCGAGGATGTACCCTATCGGGCGTGTCCCACCCACACAGAGTCGAACAGCAAACTAGCCTCGAACAGCCGGGTGCAAATATACATAAAAACTGTAAAACCTTTTGTCTACTTTAACACTGTGAGGGATAAAGAGGGTCCAGATGGGAGCAGAACGTAGTAACTCACCGTCGTGCTATAGTTAAACGTAAAATTGAGACCATTAGTCAGCCGTCAGTATTGTGGTCTGACTCCAGTCAAATGCACTGCAGGTTTTTATAAGTGGTTTTTCCAAAGATGGTGGAATACTCGGATGAGCACTAAACTCATTTACTATACGGGCAAATACACTTATGAGTTGCCTCAATATGAAAACTTCTGCTTATTTGTCAAAGCATTTACCTTGACTCAAAGATAAGACGCAGACTAGAATTGCAAATCAAGATTGAAAAGGTGGCGGATTTTTTACCAGCAAACTTGAATATGTTGGTTCTTAGACGAAAAAAACAACCAAGACAAAAGATCTGACAGTCGTCGAAGCAACTCCGTTTGTTTTGTTTTTTCATTTGAAAAACCAGTAACTCCGAAAACGTCTCTGGAAAACACTGTATTTAAAATTTTTCGGGGGATACATAGGTTTGCGACTTGTTTGTCTAGCCTTCACTTATATCATTATTGGTGTTTTAAACTGAATTTATTGAGCTTTTTTAACTCACTTAATAGCGCTCAGTGTGCCATAAAACTCTTCTGAGTTAGATTAAACGGTTCACAGTCTGCCAACGGCGATAAGTAATGGAAATTGACATTTAAAGCCTATTTTTAGAACCACGTTTAGGGCGTTGGCTGTCGCATGTGTCCCCATGATTTTGTTTGCAGTCGGTCAAACAAGAAAAGATCCCCCCTATCGGAGTGGTTATATTTTTGGTCGTAACTGGCAAATGTGAATCAGCCGTTAGGCGCAACTGGTTTGAAATTTAAAATTACTGAAAAAGGTCCAACCGTTAGAACCTCCGGATGTCAGAGGCTGGAACTGACTGATAATTACTCATGGGTGTGTAACGATTGTCGTCGCCACCCTAGCCATGGCCTTTTGATCTTGCGAATGCAGACTGCTTTTGGTAGCGAGCCCGATACTCTGAGTTATAGTTCGGAAAAGGAAAACCAAAATGCACCTACATCACCCCGTTCAGAAACGGGGGTCACTGCAATGTGACGGAAAATTAATGTTTTTGCAAAGGGTATTTATCTTCCCCCTGCAATGAGGACTCGAGTACAAACATTTATCGTTTGCGATCTAACGTGGTTTGGAACTTAACTAAACGAAGATAGCATGTATCAAAGCCCTGTTTATCAGTAACGGGAATCGCGGTGTGACGCAATGCTGGAGTCCAGAAACGTCCGTTGCGGCACCACTCGCATTTTCGCCAATCTTTAGCACGCCAGAAGCATTTTACGCCAATTGTCTACATCATATGCGTACTAATAATTCATTAAAGGTGCAGTCATAAGCATAGGAAATTCGATGAAATGAGATTCCTAGTACAAGAGCTGATGACTCATTAGATCCTTTTTTGATAATCTGCAAGTTTCGGCAATATGATGGCAAACCTGACACAATAAATCTCCCTATTACTGAGCATTGCTTCTGCCAGCATGTATAGTAATGTCGGAAAAAGATCAAGGTCCGGCTTAAACGTAATGTAAGAATTGAAGTGTCCTTGAGGCCTGTCGTTTAACTAAAACGACACAGATTTCCAAGTAACAAAGTATCGGGGTTCTTTCATTGCGAGCCAAATCATGCACGTTTCCGAATTCGGGTATTTCGTGTACAGGAAAATGCCCTGATAAATAATTTGCGATAAGCAAAAGATTGTAGTCTGATGAAACCATCGAAAAATAGTCATTTAACTAGTAGTGCATGAGATGCAGGGAAATTAAAATCAAGATTTGCAAAGAACATATGCAACAGCAGGATTATTTTTCATTAGTCTAAATGGTCGGTAAGATATGTGGTGTAAAATTTAATGACGCCTTGCTCATAAAGTGCAGCAGTGTGGAAAGCAAGGCGATTAAAGTGCTGTCCTTGTAGTTCTCCAAAATACGCTTTAGCACCAGTATAACAATAATCACCATTACAATTGGAGTAATTGAAAGCGGTACGAATTTAAAGGTGCGTTACCTGGTTAAGTTTAAAACGTTATTTCATATAAAAGTACCTGATGATTTTATTGTGATTCACGCTTTTACAAAAAGATGTTATACTGCTCGTAAAAGAACCGTTTTCTTTTTGTTTCTATCCCTTAATTAAGTCAAAACATGCATTATGGTACAATAAAAACAAAATTGGTTTGGAGAATGCATATTAAAATGCATTTTAATATGCCAATTAAAAGGAACGACAAACCTTTAGGGCGTTTTTGGTGTGCACTGTTGGTTAGGTGGATTTCGCGGTTAACTGTAAACATGCTAAACTGCATTAGTCACTATTTTAAAAAATGCGCTTTCCTAAAAGTGAGCATCTTGTCCTACGGAACTAGATGTTCTTTGGAAAAGCGTTCTATAAATGCAAATGACAAATATAAAAGACAGTTTCGCTGATTGTTTGAAATCAGCAAGTGTCTTTGCTATGGTTTGCATTTGCGTTTACCTTGAAGATAGTTTTGACTTTTGTTTTTTTCAGGGTTTGCAATGTCTGATAATCAAATCGTGAGAGCTATTCACAAGTCATTAAAGAATGCCATTCAGAAGGCTATGAATGGTCTTGTAGTGTACGAATTGACTCTGCTCATGTCGAGGTTTTACGGAAAAGAATAGTTGCCATTTGCTTTAATAAGTAATTAAGTAAAATACTCCACGTACAATCCGGTTTGCAATTTGAGGCTTTATTTCTTTACGGCGAGCACAACGTAGTCTTGAACGAAGGATGACAAAATGATGCAATTAAAGTGACTGCCTTGTGAAGTTGTTTCCACTTACATAGAATTAAACTTGTATATTTTTTACTATTTTTCATTGACAGTTACCATATTTGTCCCGTCAAGCACGTTTTTCTATATTAGTGTAAGCTTTTAAATCAAAAAACAGAATGAAAATGGGTTGTTAATTTCGGAGTTTTGTCGCAAAACCCAAGAGATATCTGGCTCCGAGCCCAATAACCTAGGAGTCTCTAGTATCGCAGAGCTAACGTAGGGAAAAAGCAATAACTTTCTCCAAATTTATATCATTACTCTACCATTGCCTGCTACTGGCTCTGAGATCACGGCGATAAATGACCTAGATGCCGGCGAGCAAATAACCCTTTATGATAAATTCAAGAATCGATAATCCTGATTGTTCTGAGATGGCATGCTAAATACAGCTCGCAAGTGTCGAAACCCATCCGCGGTAGCACGTTTTTATGTTAGTGTCTTCAGATGGTCTCGAAAATGAGTCAGAAACGACCGATTAACAAAGTCAGTGCTCCAAATGATTGTATGAAATAGACTTTTGAAATTCTCCGTAAAAGCATTTTTCATCATTTGAATATACCGCATTAATAAATACAATTCTGAAAGCACGTTAACCATGTCTCACTTAAAACCCATAACACTGTTAAACCTGTAATGCTTGTATGCGTACGTTTGTTCGAAACTTCTATAAATGACCCAAAGGCGTACAGAAAATTGTTGTCGCACAACCTTTGTGAACGGATGTTCTTAGGCCGTAAAACCCCCTACTGCAACTCTACTTCTTACCATAAACGCGTATTGACTTGATGTTATGTAAAATGCTTCTCTGATTGTCGTATGTCATACAAACTAATCTTCCCGGCAGTTGGTTTTTAATTTTTCGATCATGACCAGTCGCAGTCAAAATCCAGAGTACATTTTATTTTTTGATTGTAACTGCGCTTTTCAAGAGAAATATCAGTAATCGTACACGTTAAGCATTTGCAGGTGTTGAATTGCAACCGCAAGTCAAGAGGAGAACATAAATCTCAATTTTTGCCCACTTTTCCAATTGCATGATTTACGACTTCTCTCCCTTGACCATGCACTTTTACTCCTAAAACTGCGCCGATTTCGTCCGTTCCCACGAGGACGCGAACGCTGGTGCAACGTAAACATTTGAAAATATATTTAAATGAGGTTCTTTGCGCCGGTGTTGATGAAAGCAAGAATGTTTTTGAACGCTTTTCACATCAATCCAGTGCTCGGTTATCCTTCCGGTTTGGCTATATATCTGACACTGGATCTCTTCGTCCTTAATGCGATTCACATACAGTATGCGAACAATGTCATGAAAGGCGATGGGGAAATACTAAGACGATTATTCTTGGGCAACAAAACGTTCCACCTTTAGTAATTCGTTTACTTGATTTATGTCTATAAATTGTGTTACCGGAAATTTACGATACTTTGAAGTCAGTTTGGTTGTATATGCTAATAGATATCCTAGAATAACCTTGAGTTTCCGCGCGTTTTTTTTCAAGAATTATGTAGTATAAACTCAGCTTTTTACCAAACGGAAACTGCTGAACTTGAAAACACATCCCTTTCTACGTAGACCAGATGACGCTATGTGAAAATGAGCAAGTTATTTTTAGGAAACCACGCTTTTCACTAAATTCAAAAAGTCCTATCCTCAAAACTTGGCGATTTCATGCACTGAGACGCAATATTTGCATCCACAGGCAATCTTTAATTTAAACCTTTAGACCCTTCCCTTCCCGTAATGGGTGTACCAAAAAACATCGCAAAAAGCCCATAAAAGGTATATATGCCAACTTCTAGTCGCATAATATCATATGTTTTTATGGTCCGGTTTCCGCGAATGATTAATTTATAAAAAGAGCATGCAAGGACTGGTATTCCTCTATTCCTCTTGTTGTGCGTTTGCAATTCATAGGCAAGGGACAATAGTAGACCAATA